CTCCTTGTCCTCGCATCTGCTGGGGGGTTTTAGATCTTCAGTTTTTGGCTTGGTCTTACTATTATCTTGTTTGTTTGATTGCTTTGGGTCTCTAGTCTTCAAGACTTTCAATCATATCTTGAATTCTCCCAGCACTTTTCATTTCAAGTCTGCTGGGAGGTCCGCTGCAAATGAGGTGGTAAGGTTTGCTTTTGGGACTGCGGCCTCCTCCGCTGGAATTGTTAGATTGTCCGGGGCTACTTCCTCATCGAAAATAGCAGCAACATCTCCTGTGGGAGGTATCCGTTTTGGTGAGAGGCTCAGGATCATGCCCAGATGAGAAAATGGCATCAATCCTGGAGTGCCCTTGTTATTCTGAGTGATCTTGGCAATGCTTTCTTGGACAAATTCTGTCTTGCTGAAAGTCCAAGCTTGCGAGTAAAAAACCCCAACTGGTGTGGGCAGCATGTCCAGCAATGGTGCTATGATTGGGACTTATCAGTCGCACAATCCCCCCGTTCTGTAGGTTGTTGTGGAGCCATATGCCTGAGATCCCACCAATGTTATTGAGCATCTTGGACCAATAATGGACCCAATTTCAGAATCCGCAAGAGAACAGGATGTATGAGACCCCATGGAGCTCCAAATGGAAAGGGAAATCCAATCTTGCCATGAATGTCTGCTGATCCGCCTCATCAAAGATTGATGCCACCTGAACCAACAGGTACAAGTGTTGGGGTGCCCCCCGTTTTCCACTGTGAAGAATGACTGTTGTCTTGCATCCTTGTTGAAGGGAATGAATTGCAGCATAGAACTGACACTGAGGAGATGCCAACGGTAGTCCACACCAAAATTAACTGTTGGACCAACCACAACTCAATATTTTCTGATTCGAATGTTTCTTTCTGAATTCATAAGACGCTCACGTCTTGATTGCCACAAGGATGTGCTTGTTCAAACTCTGTTAGAAGTTGACAAGATGCTGTGCAGACTTCAGTCACTGTGAATAGGTCTTGAGAAGGATAGATGCCTTTTGATTGCTTCTTAATGTGGGGATCAATGATAAGGTTGATGAACAGATCAGCTGAGAAAAACACACCAGGCTTGAAGCAACCTGGCCACATTTTGTTAGCAGCAGCATGTAAAGCATTTTGACCAATCAATAAGAAAGAGCAAATGTGACCAGATTGAGACAATTCCCAGGAGCATCTGGAACTAAAATGTTTGACAAGTGCAGTGAAGATATCCGATTTGAGGCCATTCATGCCACAAAGCCATAGCGGATTGAACAAGGCATACAGGCTTTCAAGTGCAGCAGCCAACCAGCAGCAGTTTTTTTAGATGATTCCTGAAATGCTGAGTAAGAGATGTATGTTGAAAAGGGGTCTTTGATTAGATTGGGGGAATTTTTGGCTGGCTGGCAACATTTTTTTTGGCTTAGGGAGCAGGGCCGCTGTGGTGTCAGGCACCCGGCCATTGTTAAGCTCAAGTTTCTTCCAGTTTGCTGGGTTGCGCTTGGGTGGCTTCTGCCAGCAAATTGACATTGCTAGGTCCTGTTGAGACTTATTATTTGCACTGTATTCAATGGATACTCCCTTACTGACGGCATGCCAGTCATCCTCAAGGGCCTTGACAAAGGCAAAAAGTAAACTGTAGTATTTGGCGCTGAGGCCTTGGATCCAGAACAGTTGAAAAACACTCAGCAATCCATTTGGTTTGAAATGTGAAGTGCTACATGCCAGGTTCAAAAGATGATGAGATGATGAGGAGACCCATACCGCAAGCCAAGCATCAGCTTCAGATTGATGGAAGAAAACTAATGCAAAGAGACTTACTGGTTCCATTGAAACATATCTAGCAAGAATTTATTTCCTAACCCTGCACCCCCCTTGCCCGGGTTGATCCCCAGCTCAGTGAGCATGAGCTGACAATGGTAATGGAATCAATCACTATTCATAAATGCCTCATGGATCTTTGTCACACTTTTGAAAGGATTTAATGGATCTGTGAGCTTGCCTAACTACAGAGTACCAAGGAGAGTACTCATCAGATTGGATTTTCAACCTTGGTGAAAATAGAAGGACTCACTTTAAAATTGAAAGCACCAGTACTAGGATTCTTCATGATTTCATTTTTTACCTTCAGTTTTGAAAGAGGGTCCGGCTTCTTTGGAGATGGCCATGGGTGTTGGTGGAAGCCATGATGTTGTAGAATGGCCCAATTGGTGACCTTGTTCTCATCAAAATGGGCCATTGTGCTGTTGCAGGCTTGGTGAACAACTTTCCCAGCTTACTTTCCAGCGGCTCCAGGGCATTTGGGATTCCTAATGGGTTCCCAATTGGTCAGCACAGAACTAAGAATATGAAAGAAAGGAAAATAAAATAAAAACACCCTCATGTTTGCAAGTATGTATTCCTTAATTGCATCCTTGGCAGTGGGTGGAGACCCTACCCAATCGTCTCCGGGCTTGGTGAAATCAAAGCCCCAAGGCAGGAAAATCAGGTTATTTTCCAAGTTCTTCTATCTACTCGCCATTCAAAATTGGAGTTCTTTGTGAAACTAACAAAGCCAAAGTTGCAGACCGTCATGTTGGGGGTTTTGAAAAAAACTGCTTGGAAGTTAGGATATAGTGGATATCCATCATCATCAAGTGTGCAGTCATGGCACTACAAAAATTGTTGAATCACATTCTGCGGATGCGCAGTAACATCACATGTCACATGCAATGTCACTTTGCATTTTGCAAATTGAATGTTTTGGCACTACAAATTCAATCACATTTTGCAAATGCAAGGTGGCATTGCATGTGATATGCAATGTCACCGGTCACATGCAATGTTACCACACATTATCAGAATGCACTTCAAGACTTTTTGTAGTGTGGTCTATGAACTTTTTTTCATTTCCAGAAGGGGAAAAGAAAATCTTTTTGCCTTTGATTGGCTCACAGTCTGCATCTTCAGGCTTGTTCAGTTGGGATAACCCCTTGTCATTGCTGCTCCCATCCAACATGACCAACACTAAGGATACTAAAGAAAGATTGGAATGGTAGGGGGGGATAATTAAGCAAAAATTGATTTGCAACTGGGGTAAATGGAGGGGGAAAAGAGAAGAGGGAAGGACCATCTATACCGCATAGGATTCCGGTGTGACCACAGCGTTGAGGCATGTAAAGTTCCCTTTTTTCTATCTGTTGGTGGAGTGTTCTGGCTGAATACAGCCTTGTAGAACAAGCCATGTATTCTGCACACCAGAAATATCCTGATTTGGGTTGAAATACACACCCAGTTTTTAAACCAGTGTGGCATACACAGAGCTGACACTAAATGTTGGTGGAATTCCACTAAGTTACACTGCATCAACACTAGAGTTAGTGTAAATGGCCCATCATTGCCTTCTTCATTCAGAAACAGTGTTTCACCACCTCTTAATTCGAGTCTTACACCGGAAGGTTAAAGCTTTCAGAAGCTCAATTCAGAGAAAATCAACTCAAATCCAATGACACTGCTAAAATAATTTACCCTGGTTCAAATGGGAATAAATGGTGGGACATGAAGCAGCTTTTCCACCAAGTCTCAAAAAAACAATACCTTCTCAGAAAAAGCAATACCTATTTTTGAAATCCTGCACCCACATTCCCAAGAGGTCTTTGCTTTTGACTGCTCCTCTGCCCATGGTGCATATTTGAAATTGGCTTTGAGAATCCAAAATATGAATCTCAAGCCCAGAGGAAAACAATCAAGACTATTGTGGTATTCCCCAGTCATCGTGCTATGATGCTGCACACAATGGCCCAAAACAAGCTGGACAACCTCAAGGAATCAAAGCAATATTGGGAGAGCATGGTCTTTGGCAGCACTATACTGCTATACAAATACAAGCAGGCAAACACCCTGTGAAGATTTTATGTGATACTTGTGTCACATTCAATATGTGAAGGGATGCTTTGTGCTGTTCAGCCAAGTTAATTCAGTAAGCTGAAGATTCTGGATACTTCTTGCATCAGGAACAATTCATTCCTGCAAACCAAAAATCTAAAAACTACAACAATAGTGGTATTCAAAGTTGATCTTTAAACAGCATTATACATGAAATCATAAGCTCAAGAGGAGCAAAATTTCAGTTTTCTGGAACTTCAAATTCTTCTCTGTTTGGAACACTTCTCAAAACTTTGGTGAGCTTTATGATTTTGTATAGAATGGTGTTCAAAAACCAACTTTGAAACCCCCTAATGAATCAACTACAAACCCAGATGATCAATGATCAATATCAATCACAAATCAACTGAGAGTATCAGTTGCTGTTGGTCAAAGATCCTTTCCCAGCAATCTAAATTTTTTAAAGAAACACCCCCCTTCTAAGCAATCATTGAAGACTCCACGTCTGTCTGTTTTTACCAAAATTCAATTGTGAATTGAACCTGATAGAGTTGTTTTGGTCATACATCAAGGAGTGTGAGTTATTCATTAGAGTTAATCAAGTATTTCAGTCTAGCACACACTGATATCAACATGGTCATCTTTATTTTAGCTTTTTTCAAGCAATGTCACAATTGCAAGACATTTCTGGCCTGCAAGGCAATTTTTGAACCAGTCAGGAAAAACTTGCCCACTTTCAACAATCAAAACTTACTTTTGTAGAATTGATGGACAGCTTCCTGCATATTGACAAGGATATACTGGTCCTCAATCCAAGGTGTTGCCAAAACAAATACAGCTTGGATTGATCTATTCTGCAAAGAGCTGCCATAGACATTGATGTCCTCAACAAATGGCCTCAGGTGCTCTGACTCCTCCACCCAAAAATCTGACATACCATGCCAGACCATCCTTCACAGGCTTGCTTTGAGGGGGTGGTTGACACCAGACACGAAATATCAAATGGATAGGCTTCTGTCAAACTATGCCAAGAAATGAACTCAATCCCTATTCTCTCCAGTTTTACCAGTGTGCTTCATCCATCAAAGCAGACACCCGTAGTGGGCAAACCTACTGGCCAAATTACGTAAGCATAATAATAACGGCTGCCTGGCCCAATGGTCAAGGCGCTTGACTACGACTGCGCACTGCACAGCTGGTATCAAGAGATTCCAGGTTCGAGTCCTGGGGTGGTCGTTCTTTTTCACCCATGCGCTGGGATTGCCTGTTCACGATTGGCTATTTTCGGTGGAAAGAGGAGTCCGGGAGGCGTTTTTTATCATCACTTGTTCAGCTGCCGGCAATGAAGGAGGTTTCGAAACTTTTGTTGGAGGGCAATTCAGTCAGAATGTGTCGAAAAGGACTGCTCCCCAATAACCTGCTTCTTGTTTGACTCCTTACTACTACTACAACGGCAGAGCAACCTCTGAGGGTCGCACCAAAGGACGAAGCTCAGCCAAGACCAGGAAAATACTCGGTCCCTTTCTGATAAACCATCAGAGGCTGTTAAGAGAGAGATCCGCTCGCTGGGCTGCCCTGCTCGAGCGAGGGACGTTATTGAAGATGGAGCTTCTGCACCGCTCGAACACAGGGGAAAGCTGTCGTCCCCCGAACTACCCTGTCCACAGTCTTCAGTTACTAATAGTAATACCACCCTCAACACCACTGCTCAAACCCGCCACATCTTGATGATACGATCCGAAGGCGACATGGAATCCAAAACTAATGATGGTCAGTTATCGCCGTATGAAGGAAGTCCTTGAAAGTCATGTCCGAAAAGCTAATTACCTGTTCTGGAAATTTAGAAAAATATTCAGTCATCTTGCCGACTTACAACGAACGGCGGAACTTGCCTATCATGATATGGTTACTGGCCCGAACTTTTGATCAACAGTGAGCCTTCGTAATGGATGGATATCTTGAATCCTCATAAGCTGACTTATTTTTTTTATCATTTTGCAAGTCAAATTGATTGGGAGGTGATCGTAGTAGATGATAATTCTCCAGACGGGACATTAGAGGTTGCTCAACAACTACAACGGTTATACGGTCCGCATCGAATCGTCCGCCCCCCTCCCTCTATATATAAAGCTCATGATCACCCGCCAAATCCCTAAACCACGAATGTTTCATAAATATATATGAATGGAACACTCATGCCTGAAATTGGCTTGCCTTTTCTTTTTTTGATAATGATATTGATGCACACAAGGTAGATTATTCGACCCAGAGCCGGTAAACTAGGTCTCGGAACGGCATATATGCACGGCTTATCGACATGTACTGGCACCTTTACGATCATCATGGACGCCGATTTCTCTCATCATCCCAAGTATCTGCCCACCTTTATTGCTCTCCAACGGGCACACGGCCTGGACATCGTCACCGGCTCTCGTTATCGTCCTGGCGGCGGCGTACACGGTTGGGACTTCAAAAGGAAACTCGTCAGCAGAGGCGCAAACATGCTTACATACATTCTTCTCGATCCTGGCGTCAGTGATGTCACTGGCTCATTCCGGTAGGTCTTAATTGACAGGAATCATTTATGGTTTTTGTGATGTGTAAAAATGACTGATACACCTCCCATTTCATTGTTAGATTATATCGGACATCAATCCTAAGAGAATTGATCCAAAAAACAACATCACGAGGTTATGTATTCCAGATGGAAATCATCGTAAGGGCCCGATCGATGGGATGTAGGATGGGGGAAGTGCCGATCACGTTTATTGATCGATTGTATGGGGATAGCAAGTTGGGGAAAGATGAGATCTTGGGCTTTGTCAAAGGTCTTTGGAAACTGTTTTGGACTATCTAAGAAGCCCCCTCTTAGTATTCTCTCCTCATTTCGCACACCTCACCGATTATCTTTTTTTTCCCTCTTTCAGCTATGATGTTGTCAAAATTAATTTATCCTGAATTCATTTTCTTAATTTCAATTTGACCTCTCAATTACTCTCGACCTTATTTTCTCTTAAAGCGCACTTTTCCATCCAGGTGGAATCAACTGAATGAATGACAAAGATTGAGTGGAGCTTCAAACAAAACTTTTGCTGAGAAATTTCCTGTCAGCAATGCATAAGCAAGAAAGAAAAATAATGGGTACAAGAAGTGAAAAAACCCCGCTAATAATTAATGGAGGAGGACCTATTCTAATGCAATTCACCCCTCTCATTGTGGGTTTTAACTTTTTATATGGAGAGGTCTCCCCCAAAGATATTTTGGGAGATAGAGTCGAAACACTTGCTCACATCCTTACACACAAGATTTCATCTGCCTCCTAGTCGCTCCATCTAGTAAGTTCCCTTGATCAACCACAGATGAAATAACGAAGAGAATAAGAAAAAAAGAAAGTTAGATGGTGCTTCAATTGGTTATGAACTTGAATGTTTGGATCCTATGGTCCTTCCATGGTTTCTCCAAGCCTAATGACTCCAAGTCAATGATGCATTTTTTTGGGTTGCAAAACATCAGGATAAAAACATCTAGCGACCCACTACCTCTTTCTACAAAATTGAGTGATTGCTTTGGTGTAAATTAGCAAATGCGAAACTTGATAGCATGACCGCGCTTGCAAACACAGACAGCCAGACAGCCAATTCGGAATATCTTGTGGGCCCTCCAAGTTCGAACCCGTGCTTGCATTGCCGGATGAAAAACCATAAGTGCTTCATTCCTCATTTTCTGGTGTCAAGAGTTGTTGAACTGCAATGTGGGGCACGACTCTAGCGCGCACCCAACACAATTGCCATGTCGAGCAGGCGACCGGGATCGGAACGGGCCCACGGAGGACGTTTGGCGGGGTTGTGCACCGGAGCTGAACGGGGCCTGTGGCTGAGATAAGGAATCAGCCTACCGTAACCACATTCTGGTTTGAGACTCCATACAAGCCCATCCTCCTTGACATCGTCGAGCGCGACAACACGAACCTCCGAAGAGGCTCGCCCTACGCGTTCGGAAAATTCGCTACGCGGTATGCAGGCTGTAAATCAAGACAGCCCACCAAGGACGGGCTTGTGCTGGGCTGTCTAGTGCGTCAACAGCCTCTGATCGAGTCGTGAAATCCAACAACGCCACCATTTCCTGAAATTCTGCGATAGCGTCAACATCCACTGAAATTCCTCAAAATTCAGGACATTCTTTACAGATGTTCATCCACATAACCTCCACAATGATCGAGACCCTTGTGTTTCTTGCATTTCAACAGAACAAGTCCGTCCTGTTGGATAATAAAAATTGCCGACCGATTCAGCAGATGAGCCGGAGTCCACATTCAAGTATGCCTATAAAAATGTGATGGATGGAGACACCATGGGCGTGCGCCTAGATCTTATACACCAGTGCCATGATCCAATCTCGTAGCCTTTGAGGTGCTGAAGATGGCTGAATTGAGTCAAATACCCACGTATGGATCCAGAGTAAACTTCGGAGCTCTAGAACCTGGTAGGTTCTTATTCAGAACCGCCACGCTTGGAAAAGAAATTCGCGTTCTATCTATAAATATCCTAAGACTTGTTTGTTACTTCCCTCCCATCAACCAGCTGTTACCTTCACATTGATCCCAGAACAATCCTCACGATTAGTTGATCGCTTGTACTTGACTAGCATTTCTCTGCCCTCTTATCAATTTGAAGGATTGAACTTTCAACTTTTAAATTTTTTAAATACTCTTTCATCTTGATCCCATTATGCACTTCTTCATATCAGCCATCGTCATCTTAACTGTGGCATGCAAATTAGCAGTCTCGTTCCCATGCAACGAGATCGAGAAGCCCAAGGCCGCTTGCCGTGTCGTCGTTAGGAGTCCCAGAGGCTATCTTTTTAAGCGTAAGAGAATCCTTTCATGTTTCCCATGACCAACTGGTCGCTTTATCTGACCAAGGTATTGTTGATTTTGTGCTTCCTGCGGAATCAAGTGGCATATGCCAAGCAGAACTCGAATAACAAGGGCGATTATTACTGCGAATTGGAGCCCAAAAAAGATGTCCAGTTTTGTTGCAAGCCTGGTGTGATCGAGGTGAGTCTTATGAGGCTTCAACTTTCATCTCATTCGCGGTTAAACTCTCCTCGCTTGATCAGACCTGGGGACTGTCTCTGACCTCAATCTCCCCATATCTTAGGGTTTTCCCCCAACCGCATATCCCAATTTCGTCGACGCCGGCTGCACACACATCACGAATTAGTAAACCTGGATTCCCCGACCTAGAGTAGGATCAAGCTGTCAAATTTTCTTGCTGCATCCAATTTATCAAGCGTTATGTTGTTATTCAGAACAGCATCTGACCAAAAATTATAATCATGGAGATGGATGTTGAAGCTTTCTGCCCCTTATCCCCCATAACATTTTGATCCCGCTTGGCTGTTTTGACTTGTTTTAACTTAGCTTTCCGCCTCATTGTTGAAACGCACCCCGATGAGCGTGCCACAAATATCCATCATAAAACATCTGAGGGCAGTAGGTGTCAGGTAAAAGGGGATACTTTTGCCACCTGTTCATGTCTGAACGGGCCAAACATCCTCCCAGGTGTTATTTCTTTCTTCATTGATTCGCGTATCTTGACCTCCGCTTGCAGAGCTGATGAGTGGTTTGGCGGAGTATACCATCTCATTCCTGGATCAGATTGTTTGGGGATCCCTTGTGGGAAACCGTTCCTGAATCCATATAGCACATTGTTGAACTCGGGGAGCAGGCCTGTGTCTGATAACCCATTCTCCCACAAGGTCACGTTCATCTCACAGAGAATTTCTTTAGGAAATTTTTCAGTGTATGTTGAAGGCAAGAGATAAATTTGATTCCAGACTTGAAAGATTTACAGCATACCCAACAATGCTTGCAACTTTTTACAAAAAAAATAAAAGTTCGCTTGAGCAAAAAAATAATAATTGAAATGTCAGTTGGCTGCCTGTTGGAACTCTCACTGTGTGATAGCAGATAGTTGAGTTGTCCTGATTTTCCCACCTTGCATACTGTCGCATAAGCCAAAAAGTTGTTCTTTGCAAGTCAAACTTTTTATTCTTTTTTGTTGAAAGGTTGCAAGCATTGTTGGTTTTGCTGTACACAACAAGGGAGGGGAAAAAGTAAAGATGGCCCCATGGGACCCGGGTACCCGTTGATACCTGGGTACCGACTGCTTTTTTCGGCCAAAACGGACACCGGGTACCGCACCCGCTCAAGTATGACGGGTACCGGCGGTACTCCTGGCGGGTACCGCCTGGATACCGGAGCTTCTTCCAGGCAACCTGGTTGAGACCAATCAGGTCGCCAAGGAGGGCCCTTACCGGCGACCTGATTGGTCTTGATCAGGTTGCCGAGGAGGGGTCCTCTCCAGCAACCTGGACGAGACTAATTAGTCTCGGTCAAGCCACCGAGGAGGGGGTTTGGGGGCGGGTACCCTTGAAGGTACCAGGGTACCGCCTGCTTTTTTGCCCAAAAGCAGGCACCGAGTACCGCACCTGGCACCACTTGGCGGGTACCGGAGGAGTGAAGGCGGTACCCGCCAACGGGTCCCGGGTACCGCCCAACGGGTACCGCAAGGCCATCTTTAGGAAAAAGGAGAGAACATAGATGTAATATAAACCAAAGAGTTACATCCTCACTGGAAAGATACAGGTGTATCACATCAAGAAAAACAATGCATGATAGCTACAACAAAGATAACTCTGAGAAAATTTAATCTACAAATTGTTATCGAAAGGTTTCAATTTGAACGTTCCCCCCCTTCCTCTGTTTTCCTTCCCACGGAAGGCATTTCTTCCTCAACCACTTCCTTGTAAAGATCCATGGTAGGAAGAACCTTGGTGGCTGCTTTGGCTACTGTTGTGATCCAGGTGGGTTTCATTGACGTCACCGCCACCGTTGTATGAAGAAAAGTAGTACATCTTTCCCTTAACTTTCTTGGGGTACCCGTTGCGTTTTCCCAACCTTCTCGCGGACCAGCAGCTACATACAGATTGTTGCTGAATCCTAGCTCGTCTGCCTTCTGAGAAGTTGTGTAGCATATCTTCCAGATATCATGCCTGAACTAGATTTCTGGCATGTGCTTGACACCCCCTTTGATTGAAGGTATTCTTTTTCATCAGCATGCTGTAGCTCAAAGATGGAAGGAACCCATGGTGCAAATCAAGACTGTACATGTTCTTCTTGTGTTGAAGTGATTTCTCAGCAAAGATAGTTAACTTATAAAATTCTGCAAGAGTTTCATACATTGAGTGATGGTTGCGCTCCCAGATTGTACAGGTTTGGGACAATTTGTCATCAAATGGAAACCCAACATAGCCATTGAGTTTGCAAGAGTCATATATCTAGCCTAATTTGTTTCACTGAGGGGCCTTTTTTCAGTGCAGATTTGTTTTGACATTGCGCACTATGCATATTCATCTAATTGACAAAAGTTACTATGAGGTTTTAGCAACATAGCAGAAAACAAATGTAAATGAAGTTGGGGCTGTATCGGATTTGCGGGACATGTTACATGCTTTTGAGGTAAGAGGCAATTGAAGGAAATTTGAAGAAAGAAAAAAGAAAAGAGAAAAACGGAGAGGAAAAGGAAAGAGGGCAGATCAAAAATCCTGGTGGAGGTGTTTTAATGGGTTCCTCCGGTTTTGTCTTCCTGTCAGAATTGGGGGAGTCTGGCCAAGAGTTTGATGAAGGCTTTGGTGGCCATGAAAGCCAAAGGGTTGTGGAGGAGTGTCCTGGTTGTAATCGTGTTGATCCTTTCAATGCGGAGGATTTTTCTGGCTTCCTTCCTAGCCTCAGGAAACCTGGAGCACAAGATCAGGTAATGGTCAACTTTTTTGGGGACTCCGCAAGTTGTTCAGATTGGGTATGACACTCTCTTGCACTTGAATTGGAAGGCATTTGAAGATATGTGCCCAGATCAAAGCTAGTGTATGGCCGATTGCATGGGGAATTCTGCCCACGGAGACCCTTTGCACAGTTTGTCTTGTTCGATCAAGGCAGTCTTCTTGTCAGCTATGCTGCCCCTGATTGTGAGGTTGAGTGGAGAAGCCTTCCTTGCCTCTGCCACTTTCCTGTCAGCTGGTTTGTTGCCTAAAATCCCTACGTGCAACGGTGCAACAGATATGAGACATGTATTTGTATTGGATTACATTGTCTTTATTTTGAGCCTGATACCGGTATCAGTATTTTCTTGGTTGGTGAAAAAAATTTATTGTCTCGGATTTGGATTCACGAATTATAAAAAAATGTCTTTGTTTTTTCTTTTTTCTTCAATACAGCCAGATATATTGTGTATCAAATACGGTTTTGGTGGGATCAGTCATCTGAGACCATATAGAATACTTGTCTCACTTTTCAAAGACAATACATGTGTATTGTCTCAGGAAAGTGAGACAACACAAATCAGTTATTTTTGGTATTCAAATTCTGAGACGATACGAATAAACACCTGATACTGTCTTGTATTGTCTCTGTTGCACCGTTGCTACGTGCCCTGGGCACCAACGGATAGTAATATGGGTTGAGGCTGGCAAGGCTTCCGCTGCATCTTGAATCTGAGATAGGATGTAGTCTGGGGGCCCTTGGATGTTTGAGTCTATCTATTGCCGCTTGACTGTCAGTTAATTTGATTAGGCGTCCCCGTGGTCTTAGAAGACCAGCTGTACTACCTATTTCCAGACCAAGCCTAATGCCCACCAGTTTGCACTCAAAGTTGGACGCCGTGCCTGGGGGACCTAACACTTCCAAAATGATTGTATCAGATTGCTAAATCTGGCATTACATTAGATAAAAATATCTGATATCAAATCAGGAAAGACTGGGATTGTATCTACCAGAATTGATATTATATCTGCCTAAAATGATATTGTGTCTATCATGAAAGATATTAAATCAGACCAACCTATTCAATTTCAACATAACTGAATTCATATCAGATTTTTCCATCTGATGTAATGCCTATGGGCTAAAAATTTGTATCAGAAATAAAAATCAGATATAAAATCAGTTATTTTGATATTAAATAGGTTGGGCTGATGCAATATCTCTTGAGATAGATATAACATAATTTTGGGTAGATATAATATCACTCCTGATAGATATAAAACCAGTTTTGCCTGATGTAAAATCAGGTTTTTCATCTGATGTAATGCCAGATGTGGGAACCTGATATAATCACATTTGCAGTGTAAGAAGGTACACTCTTGATGGCCAAGGTGTATACTCTCGACGGCCGAGAGGATTCCTCTCGGCCATCGGTGTGTAATCTGAGCGGCCGGGAGGAATCCTCCCGGCCGCTTCTGTGGGGGTCTATTGTTTCATCGACCCCCAAACCCTGGTTGGTTTTGGAGGATCGACTCCTATACCAACCGGGGAATTTCTTTTTTTATTATTATTTTTTTAGGGAGTTGACTCCCAAACCTGTCAAAGGTTTTGGGGGTTTGACTCCCATTTTTCGGGTATTCCGGGGCTTGGGAGTCGGCTCTCCATTTTTTGGGAGTTGTTTAACCAAGCCCCTAATCAAAGGAGGTCTTAACGCAATCCACTCCTCTCACTGTGGGTTTTAAAATTTTATAGAGGTCTCCCCCATAGATATCTTGGGGATAGAGTTGAAACACTTGCTCACATCCTTACACACAAGGCTTCATCTGCCTCCTAGTCGCTCCGTCTAGTAAGGCCCAGAATGAATCAAGCCCTAGTACAAAGAACCTCCTACTGCTTCCCTTGATCAACCACAGATGAAATAAAAAAGAGAATAAGAAAAAAGAAAGTTAGCTGGTGCTTCAATTGTTTATGAACTTAAATGTTTGGATCCCATGGTCCTTCCATGGTTTCTCCAAGCCTAATGACTCCAAGTCAATGATGCATTTTTTTTGGGTTGCAAAACATCAGGATAAAAACATAGCTACCCACTACCTCTTTCCACAAAATTGAGTGATTACTTTGGTCTAAATTAGCAAATGCAAAACTTGATAGCATGACCGTGCTTGCAGACACAGACAGCCAGACAGCCAATTTGGAATATCTTCCGGGTCCTTGAAGTTCGAACCCGTTCTTGCATTGCCGGATGAAAAACCATAAGCTTCATTCCTCATTTTCTGGTGTCAAGAGTAGGGTTGACGGCGCCACCCCTAGGTGCGCGCCAATGTGGGGGCGCCTCACATCCTTGCCCAAGGCGTGCACATCTTTCCAGAAAAGGGGGGTGTGTGCACACTTCTAACCCTA